TGTGTCTTCTCATTTCCACGGGGTGGTGGGGGGTGCTTCTGGCACCCATGGGGCTCACCTTCTCTTTCCTAGGAGCTTAGGATGGCAGCAGGGGAGCTTCCTTCTGGGTGCTGGGACCGGCTCACCCTCTCTTCCCTAGGAGCCTGGGATGGAGGCGGGGAGCTTCCTTCCGGGAGCTGGGACCAGCTCACCCTCTCTCAAATTTCCCCTCATTTTGGTTAACAGTCCTTGGTTCATTGTAAACCAGTTGTGTCTCAAAGTAATGCTCAGTACTGGGGTTCTGGAGACTTCTTCTAGAGATTCTTTCTAGATTCTCTGTCCAAAGCTGTGGTCCCAATGCCTCTTTTTCTCCTGGCTGGCTGACCAAGAGAAAATGTCACCTGACTGGATCTGAGGAGGTCCCAAAGCTGAGATAAGAAACCTAACTCACCTTTCTCATAGACTAACTTTGCAGCTTCAGAAAAAGACTTTCGAGAACTAGTCAGCATGAGGTAAAGGACAGGTTTGTTAGGCAGAAATTGAAAGGTACACACTCGAGGAAATAAGAGTGCAGGTCCTCAAGAAAGAGGCATTTATTTGCTCAAAAATGATTAGTTATTGATTAAGGTTTGAATTGGGGGTTGAGAAGAGTGAATAAGGGAAGCTCAGGGAATTTTAGTGTGGCAAAATTACTGTATATAATAATATTAGATATATGATGTGTATTTTTCAAAACGTGTGCAAAGTAGAGTTATCCTTAATGTCAACTATGGACTTTAGTTAACAGTATTGTGTCATAATGATTCATTAACTGTAACAAATGTACTATATGATGCTAATATGTTTATAACTGGGGAAAACTGAGTGGCAGGGGATGGGGACCTTATATAATATATATAGAAACTCTACACATTCTATTTAAGTTTTTGGTAAATGAAAAAAAATAGATATTCTAAAAATCAACCAGTTTGTTACATAATTTTGTTTTCTGATAAAATAGTTTGAGGTGAAATATTGGTTGTTCCATTGGTAAATAGTTTACCTGTACATAAAATTACCAGATAATTTTATTTTACCTAGGAGATCAAAGTAGGTAGATCTTAATTGATGTTTTCCTAGGGTGATATTACAGAATAGCCCTATGTAGTATGTTCAGTAGAAATGTTTCTGTTGAGGAGCAGGTGGTGGAAGCTAAGCTTTTGGATGAGTTGACCTTCATTCTCATTAAGACCACTATTTGGAAATGCATATGTTGGGAACTTATCCATTTCAGAAAAAATGTTTTTAAGCACTATAATCTTTTGAATCATATTTGTTTAATTTGAAAAGTCATTTTCAACAGAGAAAATGAAATATCACCACTAATGTTCAAAAGTTTGAAGCTTTTAACAAAAATATTGGTTTAATAAGGATTAACACATTTTGAAAATGCCTTCAATATTTTCATTGTGAAAAGTATTCATTTTTGCTGCTGGAACACCCACAAGTAGATATGGGAAGACTGAGAAAGTGTGAATTTCTTTGTCACACACGGTACTTTAGATGACAATTCCAATTCCAACTACTAACTTGAGAATTGCTGTTCTTTTATTTTCTGTGATCAACCTAACTGGAGACAAGTTAGGCCAGGGAATATTAATGACAATGTTAAATGTGTTCCAGTTGCCCTACCTCCTCATTTCCTTTCTGATTGCCAGCCACCTATGCTACATATTACACAGAGGAATCTAATCTCACTCAGCAATTCTCTGTCCATACTAATACTAAAAATTTTTAAGAGTTCATTGCCTAGTTTTCTTTTCATCAAAATTTTTTTTTGAATTTTCAACATGATAGATTCCAGACTTATTCCACTTAATGCATTAAGTTGAAAACAGTCACCCAAGAGTAATTCTAGCACTCTGAGATGTTGAAACAGGAGCATAGCAAGTTTGAGCCCATTCTGGGCAATTTAGCAACTTAGTGAGACCCTGTCTCAAACAACAACAACAACAAAAACGTATATACATATAAATTTGGAGATGTAGCTAAGTGCAAAGGCCCTTGGTTTAATGATCTATATCTCACACACACACACACACACACACACACACACACACACACACTCGCTTTAGTTAAACCTTCCTAGAAGGATGTGTATTTTACTGGGGATTGGAAACATGACATTTTATCTTAAATAAACTTTCAGTAATCAAAATTTGGTTGACTAGTCAGGTCAGAGGGTGTTGCCTGGTGGGGCAATTTCCTCCAAGTCCACCTAACCATAAGACTAGTGTGTCCCTAGGATTATGCATAGGGTTTATAATCTAGAGATGGGAAGCTTTTTACTCTGAGAAAACTTTCTTGTTTTGAACCCTGTGCTTATGACTCTAAATAGTTTGCTTATTTGGTCTAGTATTACCTTACTGACTTTGGATCAATTGAGAGCTAAGTTTGAGTAACATGAGTTCTTAGGTTGTATAAACATGAATAATCCTGCGTCTATATAGAACAACTAAATATATGAGATGAAGAAGAAGGATACAGAGCACTTTATTCACCCAGGGTCTCAGCTTTCAGGGCAAACTCATTCTTTGAAAATGAAAGAGACCAAGCCAAAGCCAGACTTGTTACAAAACAAGCAAGAAAACTTCCGTTATACAAGTGTAACTTTATTTTTAAAGGTATTTTCTCAAATTTTTATGTTTTAATCCTCAGTACATGTATACTATTTAATGCAATTCTAATATTTTACCATATATATCAAGCTTCAAAAATAATGAATAAGCAGAAGCAATTAGAATAGATGTTAGTGATAGATAAACTGAACATCAAAATTCTCCACTGACATTTAGAAAAGTTACTGAGAATAATTGTTTGATTCTCCAATAATGAGGAATAAATAGGCCTATAGCCTAAAGGAGTGACCTGTGGCCTTCAGCTTATGTTCTTCGCCTTATCGTATGATATCTTACCAGTTTAAGCATATTCCAGTACTGTAATCCTAGAATCTGGGGGTTCAGGAATCGTGGTAGTTCATTATTTTTAAGTGCCACTGGCATCTCCACTCTTTGCTTTCTTCTCTATCACCTTCAATCTTCTCACAAAATAAAAATTTTTAAAATAACAGATTTTTAAAAGAGATGCCTCATTTATCTTTGCAATCTTTTTTTAAAAAAATGTGATTTTTGTGTTTTCTTTCTGTAGATCCAGGACTGCACAGACAGCTATATTTTCTGCAGAGACCATCCAATGTTGTAGCCGTTGAGGGGAAAGATGCTGTCCTGGAGTGTTGTGTCTCTGGCTATCCTCCGCCAAGTTTTACCTGGTTACGAGGAGAGGAAGTTGTCCAACTCAGGTATCGTACATTTAGCACTTTCGTGAAGTATATGTTACTGCTGTTTATCTTTCTCTAATTTGATAAGAGCTCCTAGAAATGCTGGGTTTCTCATCATAATTGGATATTTTTCCACACTTGAAAGCATGGTACAGTTTTTGAAAGACAATGCTACCAATGAGATGAGGGCATGGAGACAAGAGTCCAAATCCATAGGATCAACCGTGAGAAGAAAGTGAGGAAGCCAGGGTGGCCACTCAGTCCTCTCCAGAGCCTTCAGCAAGGAGATTTAGATGATCTCATTCTAAGAAGCAGGTATAGAGAGGATCGATCTTAAATGTACTCACCACACACAAGTACAAATGCTAAACATGTGAGGTGATATATAGATTAATTAACTTGATGTAATCATTTCATGCCATATATGCATATACATATTTCATATTTTATATATAACATCACATTATAAGCCAGGAATATATACAGCTTTTATGTGTCAGTTTTACTTTAACAAATATGAAGCAAAAAATGAATCCAACATTTCCTAAGTTTAATATGTAGCATTCCATTATACAATTTGAGTAGTTCTTTTACCTTTAATTATATCTCTGATATCCCAACTACAAAAAATATTTAAAGTAAGACAGGAGAATGTGGTTGGCCTTGAATTACTGGAATATTAGCAATGATGTAGAGTTAGGATGTGAGCCCTTAATAGAATGGCATACTTAGTCTCAAACATTTTGATTAAAAGGATCTCACTTAAAGAAATTAATTTCATTGATTTGGAGCACTGGCAGTGCTCCTTTTAACACATTTATTTTCTACAAGATAGGTCCATAGATTATAAATTAATTTTTAAATTTCATTTTCCTTAAATATGAATTTAGATAATGGTGCATCTTAGGTATCACAGTGTGTCTGAGATCATTAAAGCATCTAAGAAACCTGGCTACAGCCTCAACAATTCATGGTGTGTTCTCTGTGTAGAGCCAGATGCTCTTGATTCAGTATGAACTGGGGCTTTGGACAAAAATCACTGGATTGGATGTCAGGTACAGTACATTGTCTTCTAGTCTTAAAATTTTCAAATATAAAATGATAGAATGGGACTAGATTATATGTAAGGCTTTTTTTAGCATTTAAAGTTAGTTTCAAATTAAATCTATTTCATTTCGTTAACTCTTGTGCAAAGCCTTCTGATGAGTCAACTTTATCTTGAATTAATTTCTGATCAATAAGTGAAATGTTAGGAAGCCTCTAATATAGGGTATCTTTCCAATTTTATAATTTGAGTTTTTGTAGAAATTCATCTAAATCTTTGCCTGGCCTGGTACCTGCATATGTTAATTACTGTCTACATATGCCTTTATCTGTAGGTCTAAAAAGTATTCTCTATTGGGTGGAAGCAACTTGCTTATCTCCAATGTGACAGATGATGACAGTGGAACTTACACCTGTGTTGTCACCTATAAGAATGAGAATATCAGTGCCTCTGCAGAGCTCACAGTCTTGGGTAAGTTACTGACTGGAATGAGTTTACATTGTTCCCTTCAAAATATGAGGTGTGATAAAAAAATAGAGTAAATGTTTAAACTGAAAAATTATTACATTAAAAGACACATTTCCATTAATACCCCTAAAATGTCCCCCTCATTTTGAACAAATTTATTCCACCATCCCTGCCACTTTATGAAGCAGTTTTAGAAGTCATTTTTCTCGAGTGTCTTTAGTTGCACCGTTGTGGTTGGTTCGATATCCTGAATCGATTTAAGATTTTACCTTTTGTGGTCATTTTGATATTGGGGAAGATCAGAAATTACACAGTGCCAGATCCAGTGAACATGGTGGATGAAGACACATCATAATGTTTTTACGAGTCTATCTTTTACTAAATGGCACTCAGCATCACCATTAACTGAATTTCTGTTGCTTTTTTCTTTTTTTGGTACCGGGGATCGAACTTGGGTCCTTGAGCTTGCGCAGTAGGCAGCGAAACCACTGAGCTAAATCCCCGGCCCCATTAACTGAATTTCTGCTCACACCTTGTCTCCAGTTACTTTCTAATTGCTGAGACACAATACCAGACACACACAATTTAAAGGAGGAAAAGTTTATTTTTGCTCACAGTTTGTAGAGGTTTCAGTCCATAGTCTGCTGGGCCGAAGAGAGAGCAGAACGGCAGGGGGCATGGCAGAGAAGAAACAGTGAAACCTTCATGTGTGAGCATAATTTATTCTGGAAACATGCTTGTAATCCAAAGCACTTGTATATCAAAGTGAATTCCTCATACGAAATAATGGAAACTCAGATGATTGGTTCAACAACCCAAAAATATTCTTATAAAATGATTCATATAAAATACTGTGATATAATAAAATCATAAAAATATATAGAATATAATGAAAAAGAGACAAATTAACCTTCACTTACCTTTGAAAATCTTTTTGGTTGGTATGAGAGAGACAAAAGGAAGGTGATTGTGTAGGATGACTTTAACTATCATAACAGAATCACTGCTGTTTATTGGCTCAATAGAATCTTTTTCTATTTTCATAGCTTTAACAAGGAACCTATCCAATGACACTTGCCTTTGCCTCCTTTTGAGGATTCTGTGGAAATGTGATATTGCATTGTCATTAAACAGATTTTTCACCCACACTGTTACAGCCTTATTCAGGTGGCACTTTTCTGTAAAACTTTACCCTGTTTTCCACATTTTACACAGCTCCTTCATCTCCTTTGAAGTGAAGGATTCCTCTCTTTTTCTCTTCCTCCTCTGCAGATGAGATCTCCTCTATAATCTCTTGCTGTTGGTAGCTGATCACCCATAATCCTTTAGAAAGAAGGAGAAGGGAGAGAGAAAAACTATTGGCTCAGTTACAATCACGTGATATTATTCATCACATACTACTCCTATTGAAACACATTGCTTGTTTATCAAGTTAAATTTTCTTAGAAATGTTATTTGTCTTGTGAAATGCATGCAGAACAAGTTCCTTGCAATACAGAGTTTTATTGTATACCTTTCTAGGCCACGCTCCCCATGACTCATCTCCTCAGACCAGGCTCCACCTCCCAACATCACATTGAGCTATAAATTCATCAGTGGAATAATCTACAAATGTCCTCCTGCTACTTTAGTTGCATAGGGATTAAATATAGTGTTTATTTGCCTTTTGATTAAAATCCAGATGTATTATTCATTAGTCTAATTTTTCTGCTGATAAAATAAGAAAGGACCCCAAATTACTACTTGACAGATGTGTTGAACAACAGAAGATTCCAGAATATCACATATGAGGAAAATAGATGAAGAAAATAAAAGGAATTGTTCTAAAATATGCACTTGAGTGGAAAAAGCAGATGTAATTTGAGATGACAGGGTCTCTGACATTAAGTTCAGTGTGTGTTAAGATTGTTTTATTAATATGGAAATCCCATAGGTGCTGTGTTGAAAGTGAACCATTGAAATCCTGCACACTGAGGAAAAACCTGCACAGAGAGAATATAATTTAAAGAAATTTAAGGTGCAGTGATATGTTCATATTATCCAGAATTGTAAGGTCATTCATGTGTTGTTGCAAATTTGAAATTTTTACATATGATTGGTGTTCAAATACACATTATGCATTCCAGATATCTTTTATCCAGTTTCATTTGAATTATGTTGTTTTATTGAGGTACATTAACATTTGAATTTTACTTGCCTTTTTCCTATAATAACAACAAAAATTGTTTACTAGACTTTGGACTTTTTCCTTTGGAATAACTTCTTTTGCCTTTCAAAGAATTGAAGTAAAACCATAGACTATTTAAAAATCATTCAGTAGAGATGAAAAGATATGCTGATTATTTCTGTTAACCTATACACTAATACTACTCTGTTTATCCTGTATCTTTAAAGTATATTCAGAAAACATTTTCATCTGTGGGCCTGATATGTATAGGATGGGTTAGCCAATGGCATTGCCTATTTTGTTACCAAACCATAAATACTAAGGTAACAGTGGGCAAAAGATTTTAATTCTTTGGATAGAGAGGTAATATTTTTCTAACTAAAATATATCTTTAAATTGGCAAGAGTGTAATTTAATCATATTTTATATTTTGGTGAAATAAAGAAAATAGAGAACTTTTACATTTATAATATCAAAATACAGTAACACAGAATGGCTTTCATAGAAATGATATTGTAATGTATATTACTGATCTAGGTTATAGAATAAACTAGAATTTATACTGATCATAAGTAAACTTGCAAATACATGGAATCAAATTTTATATCTAAGTTACAATATAAGGTTCATTGGTACCCAAACCAAATGTATATAAATCCTGATTTCTCAGGATAAACTAAACTAGTTAATATATACATGTATGGGCATATATATGTGCATACATATTGGCATTTTTTCTTCATACATTTTATAAATTGATACAAAATACATTCTGTTTTATATATTTAAAACTAAAGTTGGGAAAGGAAAAAATAATATTTTCTACCACTTTCCAGCAATGTTTTTTTCTACCTGTCTGAGGCGAATAATTTCAGTGGCTTGGCATGTTGTTTCATAAATTCCTCATGCCTCACTGAAGCACATATGTCCATGCAAAACTTTATAGTTGCATAAGTATGGGGGCCTTTGTATTCCACCTAATGCTGGTGATAAATCTCTAGTATATCACTCAGGATAAATCTTGACCAGTTATTTTAATATTGCATAAGAAATATTTTCAGTTTAATAAAATCTATAACAATAGGAAGTAATACAGTTTAAAAATTAATATATGATATAATCTATATATACACACACATTTATATACAGGCATGTAAATGTATACACATGCGTGTATATTTATGTATATGTATCTATGTTTGCATATATACACTTGCATACATTAAAAGCAGCATTTACTGAGTAGAATGAGAGACATTTGTTCTGCACATTCTCCTGTGGGAGGTGTGGAAGTGGAACCCATTAAATAACAGTGCCCTTATTTCCTCTAATTCTGCACCAGTTGAGAAATAAGAAAAAGAGTAGTGCATCAGGTGACTTAAACATCATCTTTTAGTGAAAAAAAAAAAAGCTACAGAAAGCCATGTTATTCATATCTGTGAGAGAAATGTGCCCCACTGGTTGTTGGCAGTAAGGCTTTTGCCGGAAAGTCACTCAAGTGACTTGTCCACCGCAAGGAGCCAATGGCAGTGGAGGATACTTCCTGTCTTTGGTCATGTGGTTCCCCCAGAAAGAACAGCAGGTAAAAAAGACTTTGTATTTGGTGTGTTTTTTTTAACCACTGGATATTGAACCCATGAAAGGGGCTCCTTCAAGCTTCCAATCTAAGTATGTCATGGTGCCATTAATCCTAAGGCAGCATCTTTGTCATCCAAGAAAACCTGGATATTGGGGAGGAGATGCAGAGACAGGAATCTTAAACAAGAAAAGCCCCATCTCATGAAAAAAAATTAGACTGAGGACAAAATATTGTCATTGTCAACTCTGTTAATAAATAAGAAAATTTTTGCCCAGGAAGATAAGTAACTGTCACAAAGGTTGATTCAGGTTTCAAATCCAGACAGTCTGACCCCAGAGTCGCAGGCCTATGCTCCATTCTCTGTCTGATCTCAACATTTCTCATTCATTTTCTTTTTCTGAAAGAAGTATAAAATGAGGCAGATTTGTGTGATATATGGAAGATTCTGAAATTTCATTTGAACTAGTAGTTATGTGAACAAATGAAGTAAAATATATGAACATCCTGTAACAATCTTGAGATAGCAAAAAGTACGGATGGTAAGGGAAAAAAATGAAGAAAGAAATACAGTAAATGTGTTCTTTGAAAATACAGTTAAAACAATTGTCATACTAAATCTATGAACAAAAGCAGTAAACAAATATACTCAAATATACTCAAATATATTGCTTATTCTTTAAGTGAAACTTATTTTTTCAATGTAGTGTATCATTTCCATAATCAGAAAAATAAACATAGAAGTATAAAATCAAAACATATGGAAGATTTGGAAGGAGAAGAATAAAAATTAAGAGACTCAGAAAAAAATATTAAAAAGATACAGGTCATTCATAAACCAATTGCCTGGACTTTGCAGAAATATATACATGCACATATTTTCTTCATATAAGTGACATATATACTACACTGTTATGAGTTTTTTCACTTAAAATTAAGATAATATCTTTCTCTGTGTTTCTGTTTATATGTGTATGTTACCCAGTTTAATTGTTTGATATTATATTTTAAATTTTTATTTAAGTAACATTTATCTGATTATTACTAAATATATTTGTCATTTATTATCTTATATCATAAATAAAAGTAACCTGAAATTATTGATATCCACACCAGGAATGCCAGAATTTGCCTCTTGCCCAAAAAATACATTCCTCTCCATAACATTTTCTTCTCTAACAATTTTATAAAATACATTCTTTTTATAATAATACACTAAATGTAATTGTCTTTTTTACACTGCATTTTACATTTTGCTTT